GTAAGGTAGGTATTGTACGATCAAAAGTGCGCATGGCTTGGCTTACAGTAAACACTCAGTGTAGTTTTGCTATGTTTAGCTAGAGGGCGTCACACACGCGCGAGCTCAAAGTTTTTGTATGCAAATGGTCAGTATAACGCTTAAAAATTATTCATTTGTCATGCTTTAATTTAATTTACAAAGTGATTATATATATTTTTATTATGTATAATGAAAATTATTCTCAAAATTATTTAATTAAAAGAAATATTTCTTAAAAATTATTCTTTACTCTATTGTGGGAAGTCAGAATGTGTCAAAAAAGCCACGTATGGAAAATCTAAGTCATTGGCTTAATCTGAATGACAGAATAAGAAATTGTGTGTTATGAGATGAGTGTGGTTTACATGAAGGGGTTGTGACCAGAAAGCAATGCTTTCTTTAAATGGCAATGTTTATTAACTTCTTGCTTTTCGCTTCTTGTTTACGCTTTTTGATTTTATGACACTATTTAAAACAGCATTATAATTATCAATAGTTAATGCTGAAACAAAATACTGCGAAAATTAATAATAATCTATTTCAATGAAAATGGTAAACTAAAAAGATCAGAAAACATTTGAAATAAATCAAAATATCTATGAAAGTTTTAGTTCATTTAAAACTACCTAGCCTACCTATACTAACTGGCTAACTAATTTATTCACAATGAACAACTATAAAATGTAAGAATTATATAATGATATTTTTAAATCAAATCAAAAATATTAAGTGCATAAAGTTAAATGAGATCTTAAAAATATGTGATGTACATTTGTGCTCCATAGTCTACCTTTTTCAAGTTTTCAATATTAAGTCTTAAATATATTTATTAAATAATCAATATCTTTAATTTTTTACTTTTTTTATACATTTAATCAATAATGTCATCTGCAACCAATCTGCAACAACATCAACAAATCAATTACTCTATGGATTTTTATTTTTAATCTACCGTAAAATTTCGCCATTTTCGTATAGTCGGCAAATGTCGTAAATTGACAGTAGAATAAAAATAAAAACACATAGAGTAACTGATTTTTATTTAGACCACAGAATGGAAAACTTCGTATAGATTCTATAATGCTAAACTTCTTCATAGAAAAGTAGTCTCAAAATATAAGTATTTATGGGTTAAAGTGCTGTGGGTGGGTGCGGTCGGATCCGACCGCTTGAATTTTGACGGAACGTCGCCTTAGTCTGATCCGACCGTGTGCCCATTGAAAGGTTAATGGCAGTCACCCTATCCTATAAAAAATATTACTATTAATTATATAGGCAACTTTAGTAGGTTTTCAGTTATTTCGTATTTTTATAGGATAAGGATGACAAATGAACACACAGTTCACCTAATGGTAAGTAGTTTCTGTGGCCCACAGACACCTACATCTATCCTCGATTACAAATTCAAATGCGGATGCGTTGTCACCCGTAAGGACCAAGATGGAATGCCTCGTTTCCAGTGTCAAAAAGTGTCTCCAGTTCTCTACACTCACCATACGAAACACAGCAGTGTGGAGCTGCTATTTTACGCTGGTATTCTGTGAAAGCGCGGTCCTTCTCCGATTAATCCGACCAGTTCGTACTAGAACTATACTATTTATATAGCTGCAACATGGCTTTACCACGTATATCATAGTCAAAGTTTTTAGATATTTAGTAAGAACATATTTGAAGCTAGATTTTTTAAAGAATAGTATCAGTTTATTATACATGTATGGTCCTAGAAAACAGGAAGAAACTGTGTGAGGTAGCAGAATGGAAGAATTGGGTTCGACATACAGTACCTTTTCTGCGTTAGTCTTTTAGAAGCTCCGGATCGTATTTGCATTGAGATTGTTTCATAAGAACAGTTTGTGTGATGCAAGACTGTCTCACATAACATCCTACTTTCTGTAGAGACCCACTGTAGGAAAACGGAATGGGAGACCTGCACTGACTTTTAGGATGGCCCTTTGAGCTCTTTCTACCTCGATTAGGTGTGTTTTAACAGCACCACCCCATGAACTGATGCAAAAATCTATAAGTGATTGGCATAGAGCGTAACAGACCATCTTGGTGATTTGGCAGTCGGCTACGTGCTTAAGAGATTTGAGAAGTAAATGAGCTTGCGTAACCTAGTTACAGGTACCTCAGTGTGGGGCTTGAAAGTCAGGGTTTGGTCTATTATGATTCCGAGGTATTCGATCTTGTCTGTTCTTTGTATAGCAGGGCAATAGCAAATGGTTGGCTCAGAGTAGCAAACGTGGGCTGTGATAGAGAGGGTGGGAGGAGGGTTTTGGTTCGACCTAAGTTTGAACATTATGTATTTTGTTTTTTCAGTGTTTAGCGTCAATACATTCCTTTGTAACCAAAGGCAGCACTTAGTAAAACCTCTTTGTGCGGAATAAAAGACCTCCTTCCAACTATTACTACTGAAGAATAATGCAATATCGTCGGCAAATGAGAATATTTTTTCTCTGTGTAGCTGAAGTTGGCATAAGTCGTTGACATATAGCAAGAACAGCGTTGGGCTGAGTATGCTACCTTGAGTCCTTGAGGCAAACCAAATTTGATAGTTAACTTGTCACTTATCATATTTTCTATTCCAACTCTCTGCTTTCTTCTACTTAGAAAGTTTTCTATTAATTTCAGAGATCAGCCTCTCACACCCATTTTTCCAGCTTAGTTATAAGGTTTGGGATCGGGACTGTGTTAAATGCTTTTGCTAAGTCAAGGAGTATGGCTAAACATTTTCTTCTTTCATCCAAGTTGGTTATAATTGAGTTAACAAGCTCGTGTTCCACGTTACTTGTTGACTTGCCTTGCCGAAAACCGAATTGCGCTGGTGAAAGAAGATTATTTCCCTCTAGGCAATTGATAAAGCGCTTATTTATTAGGCACTCCAAGATTTTGGACAGCGTGAGTAAGATGAAGATTGGCCTGAAGTTATTGACACACAGTCTTTCTCACCAATTTTGTGAATAGGTTTGATAAGCATTGTTTTGAATGCTGAGGGAAAGATTCCTGTAGACAAAGCCAGGTTTAATATACCTATGTGTAATAGGGGAATTAAGAATATGTATATATCTCTTAAGTATTATACTAGAAATCTGGTCGAGCCATACTACACAGTTGTGTCTTTAATCCCAATTCAGCTGGAAAATTTCATCCTCATCCGTAAGTGATAAATGAATTGGTGGAGGATGGATATAAGACGTCAGGTTCAGTAGATTTTTTGTGTCCAGAACTAATAATATCTTCAGCCAGGTTCCTTCCAATATCAGCAAAGAAGTATTCGATGTCCTTAATAGTTTTTTCCAGATTTTCTGGAGAGAGAAGACAGGTTGACCGATCTACTACCTTATTGGAGCCGGTCAGATGTTTTATGATTTTCTATTTTCTAATTAATGGAATAAATAATTTGAATGTTACCGCAAGACTCATTCGGGATAGTAATGCAACTCGCAATTGTTTATCTAGTTAGTTAATTAATGGAGAAATCTTGGTTGACAAAAATTCAAAATCAGTCTTCGACATTCGCGTAGACTTTTTAAATTTTTCACTTGGTTCAGCAACTAGTTTACCCAACTCATGCTTAAACTTTTACAAAAGATAACAGGTAGGTCTCCTACCTAATTGTTATCTTTTGTATCAGTTTATTATATATTATTATTATAAAATTAAATACATTCTTCTTCATTTAGAAAATAGATTAACCAAACTCCTTCTATTTCTATGAATTTGTATCGTACACCATCGTCTGGGCCCTCTGTTTTTCTTAATTTGATTTCTGATTTTAGTATTCACGAGATTATAATATGCTATTGCAATTATAATCTACACTAGAATTTCAAAGCCACTGTACTGTAGTCCATTCCGGATAATGATCGAGAATACAAATGAGAAGGTCGCGTGAGTGTACCTTCTCAGTTCTCGCGCAATATCTCGACAACACTTCTCTTCGAGACTTCTCGCGTGAATCTGTAGTAGGCACAAGAACAGAAGATATTCGTAATATATAAGACAATAACATTAATTTATCGTTATATAATACATTTTAATTTTAATAAATAAATAATATTAAAAAATTAAAATTTAAGAAATTGAATTGTTAAATATTATTAGTTTATTAAATAAGCACTACCAGCAATATAATAGTGCATAAATAATTATTACTAATAAATTTTCGAAGAAAAAAAAACTAAAATCTTTCTGTATACAGGTAATCATGTATACTGAAAGATTTTAGTTTTTTTTTCATTTACAATGCTTTTAAAAGCTTACCATTGAACGTTTCTTAATTGTAAACGCTAAAAGCATTTCAGAAGATTTAATTGATATAAACGGTAAAAGTATTGAAAAAGTTTTGTACGGCGCCCAAAAAGCCGACTTGATCAAACTCATTTGACCATTTTAGTTAAGAGTTGTAGATATACATTTTAGTTTAGATCAATTTATTTAATTTTGTTTAATCATTCCACAAGTTATCTTCCACGTTATTTAAGGTTTACTTATCTTCAGATGTGGAATGTTGATCGCTAAAATGTTTGACCTTTAAAGTTTGTTCTTAAAATATCATGCCTTTATACGAAAATCTGTTCTGCTTATCAGTTTCATTTAAAAAGTGGAGAGGCGATTATTTCTATGTAAAATTATATCATATATTAACAAACATTTGAATATCATTTCATTTAGTTATTGAAATAAAATTCAGTTGTTTGTAAAAAAATAAATCTGTCCATTACCTAATTAAACTAATTAAATTACACACATACGGCGATCAGCTTTTATTTACTTTTTTAATTACTTTGCCTGTTCAATATGTTATTAAACACTTGAATTAAAAATATATTTTTTTATTTCAGATTCAATCATCTTCTACCGTTTTAGTGAAAATTGGACGGTTGAAGTAAGTGTGAGCAGTGATTAGTCGTCGGCTTTTTGTGAATTTAGTGAATTGTTTATTTATAACAAATGTTTGCGGTGTAAGTGATATCAAAATGAGTTTTCTATCATCGATCGGTCAGTACGTGGCTGGAATGGCAGATAGTGTTGCGGGTCTGGCATTATCGCCACGCCGTGCGCCACCTCCTCGCCACCGCTCTGCTGAAGAGACTCAACAACAGCAACAACCCTCAACAGCAACTATGCGAGGTAATTTAAAGAGTAATTTTAAAAATTAAACTAAAAATATGTTTAGAAATCAAATTTTTAGTTTATCTGAATAATATAAGATGAAACAGCGCATTGTTAGCGCAATATTTTCTTCACTAAATTTGAATAAAAAGTCCGTCAAAATCAGAGAGTATCTATGAAATCGAATTTTTTTATAATTTCTTACACTTATAGAGGTAAGTCTTTAACCTAATAACTTACAATTTTAGCTGTATACCGGCGATTAGATAGTCCGAAATTTACTTATTTTATTATTTTCCTTATAAGTAAAGAATTTATTCACCTGAATTCGCAATATGTATTTTAAGATTTTTAGATAGATTAGGTACAAACTTTGTACTTGATTTTATTGCATGAAATTTTTGGTACAAAGGCGAACTTAATGCCGACATAACATTATCTGCCTAACGCTAACCTTTGGTAGTTTAAGGCAATATATGGGTAGAGTCGAAACAAAAAGAAAACAATAACAACGTGTTCTTACATATTATTAAAAATATGTAATAAAATATTGTAATTTATACTGTTTTTACAGCAATTTATAAATATTTTAAATTTATAATATATTTTATAATATATTCAAACATTCATCACCGTATAATATGTAAAAAGATTATATTTTTTTTATTTTAGCATCAGTAAATAGTCCACAGATTGAAAGATCTCTCTTAAATAGTATATCCTTTTGTATAGGGGGGATTTGAAGAAATTTCCACGTTTGGTAAGGGGATTCTGACACTACTGGTTCTAGTCAATTCGGTCGGGGAATTTTATTTGCTGCATATACGATATTCATTTATTAAAATTTTATTTGACATAGTTTAGTACTAGGAATATAATATATGTTATATACCATAGTATTAGGAGGCAGGACTCCTTTCTGCCGCCAAAGAATAGTGTTTGTACTGCCGTGTTCCGGTCTGAAGAGAACCAGAAGTGTACTTACAGACTTTAGTTCTTCTTCCTTGTAAGTACAACGCACAAATCTATCTTCGATTAAGAATCTAGACACAGAAGCGTTGCCACTCTAAGTACTAAAATGAAATGTCTAGTTTTCAGTTAAAAGGGTCTCCGATTCTCTAAATTCATCAGTCACTGTTTTCACATTATACATACGCCGATAAGACTCGATTTGAAGCATTAGGTTGATGCCAATAAACGTTATGATATAAAGTTAGTTCAAAAACTTTACCATCTACAAAAAACAACTTTTATGTTAATTGTATGGGCAATTTTTGCACTAAAAATATTCAAAGTCTTAATTATTAATTCTAAGATTCAATACAAGTATTATTACCACCGCCAAATAGAAGGTATACTGCTGTATTACAATCTGAAGGGCTTAGAGAGCCAGTAATATACAGGCTGCTAGATATTCCATCTTAGTCCTCAGACGGCATCATATCTGTTGCCTTCATAATTTAAAGTTTGTTTCAAGTGCCCATGATCCGCTGTAGTCACTAACCATTATGATGATTAGATGGACTGTAAGTTCTCTTATCACTTTAATTTTTTTAAATGTCAAGTAGGTCTTTGGTAGTAATATATTTTTGAAAGAGGTTTAAGGTTAGTTTATCATATCCATTAAAGTTTTTTTAAATGTGTTTCTTTTATGATCTAGTCAAGACTTTAACATTTTAAAATGTTCCGACTTTTATTTTAGTAAGGTACATGATATGGGTAATATGGTCACCTTAAGCTTTGCCGCCCTATAAAACCAAAACTCGGAGGATGACAGAGACAAAAACACAAAGTTGTATACTATAGCTAGGTAATACATTAAGAAAAAAAAATAGCAAACAAGCTTTGCCAATAATTAGGCACACATCGAAAATAAATTTAAAAAGAACTAACTACACTATATCGTACTAAAATGGACTAAAATATTTACCATAATGTCTATAAAGCAGCGCCCTTTTAACCCTTTATTATTTGATTGACCGAATATGTAAAGTGCTATCGTATCACAAAACCATCTATGCAAGCAAGGCTGTAGTTTTTGAGTTATAAGAAAGTGACCATATTAACCGGATGACCATATTACCCTAACGTACTTTAGTTGTCTTACTTAAATGTCAGGATATCCGCGCGTGCTACCAACTGAAGGGGTATCAGCTTTAAGCGCACGTCGTCGAACGCTGGACTGCTTGGCTCCTATTGCTCCGCAACGACGTGGTGGTTCACTGCGTACACCACGACAGCAGCAACCTCCAGAGAGACCAACAATGGCTTTTTGTAAAAGGCGCCTCTCTTGGCCTGAAGTAGATAATTCAGTGAATTCAGGGTAAGTATGCAGGTTACTTCACTAATTCTTCACTAATATTTAAGCGACGTTTAAAATGTTATATTTATGGACTTATGAAATTTGATAACTCAGTTGGCGATCATTCATTAAATAAATGTATGGGTAGAATTTTGTAATCGTTGATTGGTTTTGGTGGTCGTATCGGTAACTTTTGAACATCTTAATTGATTGAGATCATATTGGGTGCGTTTGGCAGAAAAAAGCGCTAGCAAGCGCTTGTAAGCAAAATGGCGATCGTAAGCGGTAAGCGCTGTCAAATCGTAAGTAGCTATTTTCCTCCAGGACACGATGTTAGATTGAACCTGGGAACCTAACCTAATTTAAATATATGTTTGTAAAGTATTCATATTAAAAACTTACCAATCATGAATTTTTAATAACATGTATATGTTTATTCATGTCATTATATTACTTAAAACTAATATTGCACAAATCAACTTATAAACTCTACTTCAAAACAAACAAAATAAATAAGCAAAATGGCGGATTGTGTCAGCGCTACTGAAGTAGCAATCGTGTCCTGGCCGAAAACTATTTCAGCGCTTGTAAGCGCTTGCTAGCGCTTTTTTCTGCCAAACGCACCCATTCTCTCAATATATTTCAACGTGACAATGGTTCATAGCTACACTATAATCTGGAGGGTGCCGCTACAGTCAAGTTATTACCAATTTATATATTAATAACTCAAAATGACTCATATTCACAATATATGTTCATTTAGTGCACATAAAATCACAAAACCTTGATACATAGGTGGCGCTGTTATCGAGTTTTTAATAAAATTTACGTCTACTATGTGAAATGTCACAGCGCGATGGGCTCTTTCCTACTTAAAACAACCTTTCTGAAATGGTAGGAGGTGTGTGCCAACCCGTAATATATATGAAAATTGTTATTTTACACAAATAGGAACATAGGTAATTTTTTTTTATAAAAGTGGCAATTCTATTTAGGCATTATTACATGTTGTACATACAAGTAGGACGTGCATAACACTTAATACTCTTCATCCATCTCCATCAATATGTACATGTGAGGGGAATGATCCCTTGGGAAAGGAACTGGGAGAAAATCCTGGTCTCGTCAATAATTAATATAGAACGGCTTCATTATACTGGTATTTTACGCTGGTATTCTGTGAGACTAATACTAAAATACAAATGTATGAAATAATAATATAATTAAAAATTTGCATGTTGTACACAGGATGTGCAAACCCTGAAAGATACAAACTGGAAATGAGCAGAATCATGTGTCTGGCCACAGATGAAAAAAAATAAAAAAATAAAAAATTGCGGTTGCCAACTCGTCTGCCAATCATGACAACTATGTTCTGTAAAGGAATTTTGATAGTATATATAGCTATAAAGTCAATTAAAGGTCAATAAGGTCAATTTATAAAGTCCTTTTTTCCTTTTTGTTATGCGGAAAAACGGATTATCGTCTAAAATTAGCAGCAAACTGTTTACTTCATTAAGTTAATGGGTGTCACTAAAGAAAGCGGTGGGTTGGACTTTAAGTAGCCGGTCTTCGAGAACATTTCGAGAATAGTTCGTCCATTTATAAGTGCTAGTTTCATTTATTAAAGATATATTAATTATATTATTCTCATAGCATCTACTTTTGCTCACCTTTACCTGACGACTAGTTACACCGTTATTTATTATTAGTCTACAAGCCTTAACTTTATTGAAACTACTTAATTTATTTGGGGAGAATATATAAATGGTAAAATATTTCTCTTAAACTGCAGTTCATGCTCATATCTAAAGATTAGCTTAAACCAGAACTTATTTCCACTTTTTACAGTTTTTCAGAATTTATTTTCCTACTCAAAGTCCGCATTAGGTAAAAAGGCGGGGGCGTCACTTTCAATTTACGTAGTAAACTGGGAACTGATATACTGGCGTACTTTGCATTTTTAAATTTGAGATAAATCTGCCTTCCCAAAATCTGGTCCCATGGAAAATGTATACCTTTATAAAAGTTGTCCTGTACTATCTGAATTTAAAAAGATAAAATTATTTGTACTAATTTAAGCAGGTGAACGAGAACACAGTTCTTCTGTTAATACGTGAATGCTGTGGTCCGTTGATTATACATCAACCCTCGATTATAATTATAAAACAAAATGCAAGTGCGTAATCACCTGAGATGCATCGTTACAGGCAACTGGTCCTTTTCACCATATGGGACATATTAGCATTATTGTACTGCTATTATACGCTAATATTCTGTACGAGTTTGATTATTCCCTAGTTGAGCCATTTATAACTATCTATTACGATATCCGTTAACGCTCATGCTAAAAATTATCAACTTGGGATTGGGATGCAGTGTTAACACAGGAAGATCCAGTGAGATAACATTTAATGTGTCAAACAAATTAATTGTGTTCACAATTTTTTTCTTACAGAAGTGAGCGTTACAAACGAGCACTTCTGGTGATAAGTGAATGCTGTAGCCTATAGACCACAGACCGGTAGGCGTAGTGTAGGACGACCCCCCACTAGATGGAGTGACGACCTGGTAGGACATGCAGGAAGTCGATGGATGCAGGTGGCTCAGGACCGTGCTTTGTGGCATTACTTGGGGAGGCCTATGTTCAGCAGTGGACTTGTGAAGGGCTGTAATGATGATGATGATGATGATAGACCACAGAAATCTAAATATAAATAGAAGTCGTAAAAGCGCATGACCTTGTCGCCGCACATGTGACTCGTAGGCCACACGCGCGCGAGGAGCGTTTGTTTCGGTCACCAGTACTGTTTCGGACGCAGAGACGTAAAAATAGTGTTTTGAAGCATATCCAACTGCGGAAATTCCCCCACAACTTACAAATTTTCAAATAAAGGGATAACATTTCATAAATAAGTACTTGGTGTTTTAAATAATGTTGTTTTTAACGAAATATACTTAAATAAAATTATCCACCTCCAGTACTACGATTGTCTCCGAAATTTTAATTGTTTTCACACATCAATATCCATTGATTCCTAAGCTAGTTCATGTCTACGTGGACGACAGCTAAAATCAGCGATGGATTCCGAGTATGGGCAATAAACAAAATTGTTGCGTACGTAAATTTCCTAGAACATGGCCGCAGGAGTCGAATGCGAGTTAGTTACGTGACACAACTATTTTGTATGGATAATTTATTATGTTTTGCTTACCTAGTTTTAACGAAACGGGAATTAAATGTGATTTCTAAAATTTTCGTTAAATATTTATTTACACCTTTCTACTTTTTTTCTTTCTAAATATTTTATACCGTTAACCGTTTATCGGCGATTATATATTTGTTTTTACTTTTAAATTACTTGATAATTTTTAATAAGTCATATTGTAAGGATAAGTAATTATATTGTAAGGATAGTAGTCTTAACTCGATCTGTAAGAAGCCGGGAAACTGAAAAGTAGCAAACAACAGAAAGTCAGTTACAGATCTTTAAAACTAATAAAAATGATAAATATGTCACCCATACATATATTTATTCCTTTGCTATTTGTATAATGTTGTATTCATTTTATTTATACATCTGCTTAATTAATACAATGTTTTTGTTACAAGTTTCCAAAAGATCCGGTTATTAAAGATAAATGGATATATTTATTCTTAACGTATTATTATTTCCCCCTCTTTTTCCAATTATAAAACGTCTAAAAGCTAAAGCTAAGACTAAAAGCGTCTATAACTGAGATAATTTTAGTTAATTAGTTATATCTTGGTGTGAGACTCCTGTAAGATCAACGACGCTTAATAGAAAGTTATCGAAACGTGCGTTGCGATGCACTACGCCCAAGTTAGAGCGAGCGCGCTATGTCATTCTCTGTTTTTCGCACACTTTAGTTATTGGACTGCTTGGCTACGCCTCCTGAGATTTTGTGTTTTTATAAAATATTCCTTAAAACGCAATAGTTTATAGATTAATCTTTATTTCATGAATGCTAGAGGTATTCGTAGGCGTAATTGTGTATTTATTGTTTGTCCATGTGTGAGAGCTACGACCTGGCGACACGCGTGCTGATATTAAAAGACAGTAAAAGGCATTTCTATTGTCTTATTATTTAGATTTCTGTGCTATAGACACACATCTAAGAGAGCTTCTACAAATCTTTTGCATGTATATATTACGCTGTATATTCATCAAATTTTGAAAGAATTTGGTTTTTTTTTTTTTTTTTTTAATTAAACAGGTTAGCGGGTTCTACTCTAATGGTGTTTCATCATATGTAAATAGTATGAATAAAAGTTTCACAGTTCCATGGTTTAATGCAACTATTTATACGAAATTATAGTTGTTACCATGAGCTTGTGATATTCCTAAGGCTAATCTAAAGAGGTCAAAAAATTAACTTTTAGTCTATCTATGTATAACACCAAAAAATTCTACCTATGTCCATTATAGACTTTGAAACCAACCAACCGAAATTATTAATTTAAATTATATTTACTTTATATATATATAAATAAATATAATTTCACATTAAGATAATCATAAAAATTGTACACACTTGGTGCATCTAAATATGCAAGGGATGTTGGGGAAAGAGACATTAATTTGTTTTGAAAAAGTAGCAACCCACACATTTTTAAACCCGAAGAAAACAAGAGGTGTTATAAGTTTGTAGTGTGAATCTGTGTGTCTGTCTGTGGCATCCTGAACGGATGAACCAATTTTGTTTAAGTTTTTTTAAAAGTTATCTTAATCCCGTGTGTTCTTAGCTATGATTCAAGAAAATTTGTTCAGCCGTTTGAAGATCATCCCTTTTTGTTTCGGGGTTTTTTAAGTTATTTGCATAACTCAACATGTAAAGACATATTGTGAGCCTCTGTTGTGCAAACTGTAGAAATGGCATACGTTAAGCTCAAGTAACTCATTGTTGTTAGTGTTTAGAGAAACCCATATTCTATGTATGATTATTTTCAAAAAATATGGAGAAAGTTTTGCTTAAGCTTAATAAACAGAATAAATTTG